ATATTTGTAACAGGAAGGAAACGAGATAGACCTATGGTTCCTTTTGAGAATATGCATAGAATCACTTTCTGAGTCGATTTATGCATGTCCGTCCGTTTGTTGATTTTTAATTGCGGATTGCCTTTATAATCCGATTTGGAAGAAATTTGGTACAGCTCATTTATTATATATATATATATATATATACAGCAAACATAGCAAACGTGGCATGCAACATTTTGTATGCTGCAGCACAGTGTTCTGCCCAAATTTTAATTTACATGAACTCAGAGACGAAGATAACAGATTATAAAATCCAATCCAAACCGATTTCAACAAAACTTAACTCGCGTCATTCTAGACTATGGAAACTTAACTGAAAGAAATAAAAAAATTATCCGGTTTACATAAAATCTAAGATCAATTCAATACCCTCTGCCAAAACACATGTCAAAAAGGAAAAAAAATTGTCTCTTTGGTGTATCATACGCATAGAATTGGATGAAAAAAAAAAAACAAATTATGAAATATAAGGGCATTTGTGGTCAATTTAAATAAAATCGGACGAACATATATATGGAAGCTTCACATACCTCAATCTGTATTTAATTCAGTGTGCTTAATTTTGTCTCAATCGGACAAAAACTGTGACTTGTGTGAACTATTGTGGAATCGCAATAACCTACAACTAAATCTGAATCGATTTTCTCTAAATTCAATAGAGTTCGTCCATTTCAAGTTAATACAAATACCTAGGAAAGAATTCCTAACAAACTTAATAGAAGGAATAAATAGTCCCTTTGAAATTATATTCTGAAATATTCATGATTTGCAAACTGAAAATTTAAATAAAAAATAAAAATGTATGAAATTAATAGTAAACAAAAAACATTTCAAGGCGCTCAAAATCAAGATTTATGGGTTTTACATCCATTCATAAAAATATTTCAAGAAGTCCACGCTAAAATAACCCACAAATCCATTAACAATTATTCTTAAATTACTAATTATCCTTCAGAAAATATTTTTCAAAATCCAAGTATAACCATTGGAACTTGCAAATTAATTTGTAACATATTGTATTAGCCTGGAATTCGATATTTAATTTGTCATTCCGTTTGCTTTGTCGATTTATGCATGTCCGTCAGTCTGTTGAAATCACGATAGAACTCGCAACATTTAATATAGAGCTTTGAAATTTAACACATACATTGGTATTACACCTGGAATGTTTGGTATTGAAAATGTGATATTATAAGGTGCCACGTTATGGTATATCCCCCATATAACTATACCCCAAATATTCGGTAATTTAGGAATTTTTCAACCGAATTGGCTGGAATTTAGATAACACATCTACCTACTAATGGTACATCCCAAATTTCGGTATTTTGGGAAGTATGGACCCGTTTTTCTACCCAATGGGCTGTAATTTGGTATTTTGGGTTTTCATTGGGTAACAATACATCTTAAGGCAGCCTCAAAATAACGGTACGTTATATTATTCGTTTTTATGGTCCCGTTACATGAATTGCTCAAAATTTCTTTCTAATTGGATGTCAAATATTCTTACACAAATTTTACCATGACACAACGGCGATATACTTTTTTATTTGCAGTTGAAAGTCTGACATTGACGAAATGCGATCGCTTTACAATCTCACAACGCAAAACACATATCAAAACCTCCTACAACATGAAAACAAATATCAGCCGACAGATATCTAACCTCTGCGGAAATATGTTGACACTGCCTGTGTGAGGTACCAGAAGAAGTTGACCGACAAGTCCCATCATTCGACATTTTACAGTCATCGATATTGTTGATAAATTTTAGTTCAAATCGGATGATCCATTCGCGCGATATAAAATTAATTTTCAACCAAAATTTTACCATTTTGTGGGGAATGTGCAAGAGGGAACGGACCGACGGGTCCTATTTTCAGACATAATCTATGTTAGATAAACATATCGACGCCTCCGAACCATAGTATGCTAAGTCTGAAATGTGAGTTTTTCAGTAGAAGCTTTCAAAGTATGGACGTTTCTTTAATCGTACGTGCCATGCTAAGTACATTTTTGCTTATAACTTTGGTTTGGATTGGCCGATGATTACCAAAATTTCAGTGAATTTAAATTAAGGACCGTAGTATCTAAAAACGTGAAGAACTTTAAAACATGCTAAGTCGACTTAGCATACTATGGTTCGGAGGCGTCGATATTATGATGCACAATTTTTTGATGAAATTTTTCGCTTCATATGAAATGTAAAACTTTCCTTGATCTAGAATTGGTAAAAATATTACTATGTGGCAAGTTTGGGTCAAATCAGACAATCCATTCGCTTTATTAATTTGATTTATAAAAGTGGAAAATTTTTACACATTGAGGGAGAGGTACCCGAAGGAGTGGACCGATGGGTCCGTTTAAGGGTATAAAAATGCTGATTCAGTCACAACCACATATCGTGCTTTAATGTGAGATTATGGTCTTCATAATCGCTCAACTACGCAAGCAATTCGTAAATTGTGAAGACATTTTAGGAGGCTGGATAGGTTACAAATATTTTAAGGCCTATGCATAAACATTTCGTTCGTTCCGCTGAAAATATCGTTAAATGAAAGTGTTGTCGAAGAACCCCGAATTTGTCGAATTATCGTCGTTTTCAGAAAAGAGGAATGTGTTACCAACCGCACATTACGGATTATTTTGAATTTAGACCTATATTTACATGAAGTCCAGCTTCAATTTCGTGTTTAAATGGAAATCTACCCAAAGCAAGCACAGTAATTTCGTTATAGCTTACGAATCTGGGCCATCAGGGCGACGGGTAAAAATCGGCAGTCATCTCGGTATTCCATTACCGCGGAATGAATTACCCTGTAAATGAACAATAGCTTTTCGATATAACCGACTACAATCAATGCACATGCCATTCTGCTTTATTGGACTTAGGACATAGGGACTATATTATGTAATTTGATATGATATCGGACTAAATTTTACACATTACAAAACTTAAAATATGTCATTCAGAGTTTTGCAGCAATCGAAACGAAAAAAACGCATTTGTTCACAATTTCATTGGTGTGCCATTTACATAAAATCAGAATTTATATATGAGAGCTATATATCTGAAGAGATTCCATTAAAACTAAATACATGTCATTCTCGGCTGAATACAGTGCCCTATGTAAAAATTCGTCTCTATCGGAAAACCCTTGAAAGTTTGGTGTACAATTTACATCAAATCGGACGAAAATATATACGGGAGCTATATCAAACTCTAAACCAAATTTCTCTAATTTCGTTCGTTCGTCCCAAATAAAAAAAAAGGTTTTTATATATGTATATATGGGGTCCATCTCGTTTCCCTTTGCATGTTCTAAATTATGCACAAAGACATGTACTACAGTGGGTGAAGGGTCTAAAAATGGAGTACCGTTATATGGATGGGAGATTTTCTACACAGTGGGAAAATAAAATGTTAAATTACAACCAATGTTGGGACCATTTAAAGTACCAAGCCCCCAAAATGGTGCTCGCTTAAAGCGAGCGATAAATGTGCACTACGAATATAGTATCGAAAACGTGGACATTTACTATGATAAAAATTAATTTAAAAATTTTGGTAATATGAAAAAAAAAATACTTACTATTTTGATTGTTCGTCGGGAGTCATCTCTGCAGCAAATAAAGTTTTTATTTTCAGTTAAGAATTTTTTTTCTGAAATGAAAATTGTGATAAAAATATGTATAAAATCAACCTAATAAACAGTTAAAGTTTCATGAATAATAAATTAAAATTTAATAATATATCTCTCCTAAGAATATAATAACATATATAAATTTTCAACATTTCCAATAAAACACAATTTTTTTTCTATTAATTTTTCATTTTTCCATTTATTTTCAACATTCACAATTTTTTGATGTTTTTTTTTAATAAATATATGAGATCATATATAATAACAACAACCAAATAAATTACATTTTCGTATTTATATTTACAATTAAAATTTATAAATAAAACAAACATTACACCATTTCACATTCAATATATACAGTCTTTGCAAAAAAATGATTATCTTACATTTATGATTTATCTAGAAATAAAATAAAATATTTTTACTAAACTACAAACTATTTAGGTACATATTGATAACAACAAAAAACAAGCGAGTATAACAAAAACAAAACCCTCATGAACCAAAAATATAATAGACCCCAAAGTAGGTTGGGTAGGATTAATAAAAAAATTAAAATAAAATAAATTACAAGTCAAGATTTTTTTGTTTTGGTGTGTGTAGATGTGTATTTGAGATTTGGTTTTTTCTTCATTTCATAAAATTATAATTAATACTATTTTTGTTGTTATGATTATTAATTATTTGGTTTAAATAAAAAAAATACAACAAAAAAATATTACAAAAAAGGTTTGGTGCTTTGGTAGGTAGGTTTGGTTATAACAAATAAAAAATGTGTATTTTTTCTATACAAAAAAATATTATTATTTATTTCTATTATTTTTTTTTTTACTAAAAATATATTTGTGTGTGTACATTTGTATCGTGTGTTGTTGTTGCTTGATTATTATTACTGTTTTTGGGGTAGCAATAAATAATGATAACGATGACTGACTGACTGTGGCATGAACATGCCATAAAAACCGGGTTTTTTGTTTTAATAAATTATTACGTTTTTGTAGCCGTCGCCTTGCGTTTTTGTTTCTTCTCTCTTTCGTTTTGGTTCCTCTTTGGTTGTTGAAAAATAATGGGGGGAGTATAAACAAAACCCCCCTTCATTATGTTTTCTTTATTAAAATGTTGTGTTGTTGGGTGAAGTGCGTGCTCTTGTACACGTTTGTAAGTGATGTTGACCGATGACCTTCACTTGTGGATTCACTTCAATGTTTTGCCATTTTTCTTTTAGCGAAAAAAGACCCTTCGTAGCTTACTGCTGCTGCTGTTGGTACCATCATTTGACTTCTCTTTACAAGACTGAAGTCCATGATCCCATTTCCATGTGAGCCCGTTTCCTTTTCCTTTGGAAGTGTAGAACAAGAACAAAGACAAGCCATTGCTATTGGCTAGGTTCCAATTCAAATTATTTTAAAGGGAACTTCAAGATTCCTTCCCAGGTCAACCGTTTAACGGCTCATAATTTCATCGATGGTGAAACCCAAACTGCGTTTTGGCTTGGCAATGGAGGAGGCGGTGGCGGAGTTGGGAACACTGGAGGCAGATAAATCCAAAATGGGTTGTTGAGCAACGGGTTGCAGTAGCAGTTCTTCGCTAGAATGGTTCAACGATTCAGGTTGACTTGTATTCAATTCCTGGGTTGAAGCTTCGCTTTTCAGATCACCACTGCTGTTCAGGCTGCTGTTGGCCAATTGACCTTCGCTGTGACTTTGCAAATGGGCCTTGAGATTGGCACGTTGATTGAAGGAACGATGGCAAATGGGGCACTTGTGGGGACCCTCTTCCAAGTGGGTGATCTTGTGGACGGCCAAGGTGCGCGATTGGCAGAATCCCTTGCCGCAGTCACCGCACTTGAATGGCTTCTCCTTGGAGTGGATGTAACGGTGGTCACGCAAATGATCTTGGCGGCGGAAAGCCTTGCCACAGATGTCACAGGAGTAGGGACGTTCATCGGTGTGGGTGCGCTCATGGATCAAAAGATTGTAGGACTTGGTGAAGTGACGATTGCAGTATTTGCAGATAAACTGTTTCTTGGGGCGGGAACCGGCAGCTGTGGGGGCGGCACCCAATTTCATGGGTGGCAGACCGGCACAGGCGCCCAAACGGGCAGCGGCAGCTGGATGGAGACCGTGGAGGGCACCGGCGGGATAGGGACGCATGCCATGCATGGCTGGATGTGCAGCGGCGGGATGGACATGGGGATGATGATGGCCATGAGCATGGGCATGATGATGCTGATGTTGTTGGTACAGGGCGGCATTGCGGATCCATTGGTTCATCAACAGGGCTTGGTGTTGGGCAGCCAAGGGATCGGCAGCAACAGCGGCGGCATGCAAAAATTGATTGGCAGCGGCGGCAGGAGGATAAGGCATGGCGGCAACATGGGTATGATGGTGTTGTTGTTGCTGCTGTTGTTGTTGTTGCATTTGTAGCCACAAACGATGTTGATGCTGCTGTTGTTGTTGTTGCATTTGGCTGTCCATCATGGAGACATAGGTGCGGGAAGCAGTTCCTGATGAAGCTCTCAATTGTTCCATTTCATAGAGGGCACCTTCTTTGTTGTTGTTCACTGCCAAACCGGTACTGTTTCTACGCAATGTAGAAATATCCGTCGGCGTGTGTGGTGGAGTTAGAATTGGTGATAGACTGCTTTCACGTTCTTCTTTAATATTCAAATAATCCGCTGAGAAATCTAAAAATTGAAAGTAAATAAGAAATTAGTCTCACATTTATCAATTCATTATTAATCCACAAATTCCCTCAGCAAGAGAGAGAGGGAAAGAGAGAGTGAATTTATTTTTTGCCGACGGCATTTTTTCGAAACCTACCTTCATGGATGTTCAATTCATCATCGACGGTAATGTTGCTGATGGGTGAGGCTGATGTTGAAGACATGTTTGTTGTTGTTGGTTTTGTTAAAATATTCTTTGGTATTCCAATAGTTGTTGTTGGTTTTGTTTTTTGGTTAAACACTTGGTTTTATTTCTCTTTAAAATTAGTTTTCAGTGATATTCGTTTTATTTTGTTTTGAAAATTTACGTAAAATTGATTTTGTAAATTTTTTCTTTAATATTTTGCTTTGGTATTTTTCCGTGTTTTAGTTTTTTCTTTGTTAATTTCTAAACTGAAACGTTCAAAATTCTCTTTGGATTTGTGTTGTGTACACTTCAAAGTGTTGTAGTGAACTGAATTCAAGTTATTTCTTTGCCCAAGACTCAATCTCTTGAAAATGTAAAAACTCTCTCTAGTAATAATAACAACAAACACACGTACGTACACACAACAAGGCACTCTCAGACACACCACAAACAAAAACACCACCCTCAATACTCAGAGATAGGCAAGCCAGCCAGCAAGCAAACAGGCAGTCATAAACATCATCACAAGCACGAACAACAACAAAACACACACACGCACGCACAGAGCACAGTGTTTTCCCCCCGACTAAAGAAGAGCACCAACAACAATACTCCCTTGAGAGCATGCACACACAACAACAACAGAATAGTGTGAGTGTCTCTGCGAGAGGCTACTGATAATGAAGCCAACGACGATAAACCGATGGCTGTGAGTGGTAGTCGTGTGGTAGTAGTAGAGGTAGTGGCTGACTCGTCGTTTTTTGTTGAGTTAAATTACTACTGCTGTGCCTCTTATTTGTTGTTGGTTGTGCTCAGTAATAGTCGTCGTCGTTGGTGGTGGTGTTGTTGTTTTTCCAATGTAAATACCTCACCACTACTGCTTTGGGTTGGTTGACTGGCTTGCTTGTACAACTGGTTAATTTGTGTAGCCTTGTTGTTGTTGCTGTTTCTCTTGCTGTGCGCACAACGTATAACAGTGGCCAACAGTGTGTGGCTGTTGTTGTTTTTGTTTTATACGGCAGCCAGCCAGTAAAGCAAAAAAACAACAACAAATGCTCTATCAACATGGATGGCATGCTTGTTGTTGGTGGTGGTGTGTGCTGTTGTTGTTGCTGTTTTATTCCCCAGAAATTGATGATGGCCAAAGAAACACGCCCACCTTAAATATTTTCGTTTAAAACACACCATTGGTTGGCTGGCCGGCTGGTTTGTTTCCCCCCAACAAAACGATGGATCTCTTTGGCCATGTGGCAAATATGGTTGGATGAAATCAAGTGTTATTCGGTTGGTGTGTGTGTATGTGTGTCAGACTGGGGGAGAGAACTGAATTCATATAAAAAAGAAAAGAAGAAAAAAATGGTGGCGATGTGGATGATGATGGTTCATCCCCAAAAACAGCCAAACGGCTGCAGCAGCAGCAACCGTTTAACCAGCCCCAGATGCAGCTGTAGAAGCCATGAAGCAGCAGCAGCAAAAGCGGAAACTGGTAAAAAGCTGCTGGTTGACGGCATGCTGCCGTTGTATTTTTTGCCACTATATAGAAACTGAATGACAGAATGGTTGTTTGTCAGGCAAAGCCAAAGGAAAATATTACGAAAAAAAAACTAGAACGAAAGAAAAATATTCTTATGGCAAGACTTCATGACAAAAGGATATTTCAACTTTTAACACTTCACAGGAAAAAATAAAACGAAAAATAAGTAGAAGGGGAGAAGAAAATAAATGAAGAAACAAAAATGTGGGGGAGTAATGGTTATTCATCCCCCATATTATTTTTTGTGTGTATGACCAGCAACCCCAAACGCTTTGTGAAAAAGGGCAAACAAATATAATTTGATTTTATATGTTAATTGTTTATTTAAACACAAGCCTTGAAGGCAGACGTAATGGCGAATATTTTTAAGCGAAAACAATTTCATTTAAAGAGATGCCATTAAAACGGAATGAAGAAGAAGGAGAAAAAATAAAAGCAGGGTCATAAACTAAATTAACTGTGATAATAACATATTGTAGCTGAGTTTATTACACGCTTTTCGGTTTTGGGGAGGTTATCCTGTATGTCATCATCCTTGTTCATTATCAAAACGTTGTCATCAGAAAAAGGGAAAATTACATTTATGTAGAAGTTAAATATTTTGGAAAATGATTTAAACGTTTTCTTTTCGTTTGGTTGGTTGATAAATTGTTACAGATAACAATGATGGGGAAAATGTTTTATAATGAATTTTTCTAGGGCAGAGAACTGAGATTTTGAATAGAGAATTAAAAAAGGATGATTGAAACTATATTTTGAAAAACGACAAGGTACATTTTATTCTATTAGAATAATGAATGTTTAATTTTTTGAAAGAAAATTAAAAATCTGTTCTCGAAACCGAAATAATTGCGTTAATTGTGAAAATGTATTGCTGGCTTCTATTCCAAATCACGTATAAATAAAAAATAAATACTAACTACAATGGCGCTTAAAATTAGTTCTTCGACGCTATAATACCACCGATCATGGTCGTCAGAAAATATTAATGAAAAAAGCATTCCATTAAGAAAGCATTCCCTTTATTCCAATATCGTTATATTTATTGATATTTCTGTAATTGAAATATTTATTCGACCTTAGAGAAATATTTAGGAAAATTTTATTTGACAACAAATATGAGAGGCTATCAAAATTGTTTATTGTTCTGTTTTTTTTTTTTCTTAAACGAAAAATAATGGTAAAATGTGGAAATGATTTTAAATCAGTATTTATCCCTATGGGCTAAAATAATTTTTGAGAAAAAATATTTTTAATTGCGGATTGGAATTGAAATTCTCTTTTTATATATCGTCTGCCGGTGAATGTCGTATTTTTAGATTATAGTATTTATAAATGCCAGTTAAAAACACTTTTATATTAGAATTACAGAAGATCTAAATGTAGTCTCTATTGAAAGGACGTCTTTAAGAAACCAGAAGGACAAATTCACCAATGGTCAAGTTTTTGAGATGACATGTCTTCAGTTAAATCAAATGAGGAAAATTTTTGTAAAACATATCCATATTTCTCGAGTACATTTTTTTCTTTCTTATTTCCTTGAACCATAAATAAAAAACCCCAAGGCGAGATTTTTTTGTACTCCAAATATTCTACAAAAATTTCGGTCATAAGATTTGATATAGGGTCCCCAAAGACAAAATATCGATATTCGTATGTTTTCATCGCCCTTTTCCACTTTTACTCGATCCTCGATGAGAAAACCTTATATGTACGAACACTAATTTATTTCGAATAAATTTTATGAATGCAGCTATTGGTTAATTTTTTATGATTTATTGTAAGACTATTATCAGGTGAAGAAGTCATCCAAACGGGGATTTAAGAAGAGTTGTTTGTTTTTCCTTCAACACTATTCCTGTCATATATTGTTGGTCGAAAAATCTTAAAAAAAAACATTAAAAAAAAACATATAATTTTGGGGAATCAGATGAATTTGGGAATTGAAATAGACTAAAACTTAATTTTTGTGTTTTTTTCTCAAGATGTTCTATGGGCCACAACAATAACCCGAACAATACATGGGGAAGGGAATCTGGTCAACTTATTAGAATGTGATGTTTTAATCGGTCAATATTCAGCGGGTCAAATCAACCAAAACCTTTCTGTGAGTAAAATGAAAAAATTGCATCGCATAGCGAAAAATGTTTACCCTGTAAAAATTATTCCGAAAATATGCCAACAAAGAGTAGCTGATCTCTAATCAGTCTAGAGGGTGTCCCGTCCGACTATACAACTCATCTCACTGGATTTTAGTCTATGTTGATGATAAAATTGGTAATTTTTAGTCCTCAACTCAACAAAAGGGGCTGAAATTTTGCATTTTGTGTTTTCATTTGTAGCAAATTTCTCTACCAAAAATTATAAATGTTTGTCATCTCTACATACAATTTTATAAGTATTCAGTATAAAACAAAGCGGACTCTCCTTCAGAAATTAGATAGGCTGATAAAAAATCTCTCCAAAAATTACAATTACTAAACTCCTTACTTTATTCGATTCGTATATATTAACAACAAAACATTTCTTAAGCTCGGCAGTGCCAAAAAATACTAACGAAATTTTAGGTCCCCCCCAAGGTAGATGTATTAGGTAGTCGCATCGACCCAGTTGATTGTAACATTTGTTTTGACAAATTGTTGTAATTTTTAATTTTGCCTTAAAAAATTAATTAATTTTTGTAAATAAAATTGAAGTTTCGTGATTTTTTTCCAATTTTACTTCGAAAGAACCAAAATATCTAAAAATGAACAGCAATTTTATATGAGGGCTACATTAAAACTGGAAAGATTTTCGTGAAAGGTGTTTTAAATTACAAGATATGATTCAACCAATCTGAACAAAATGTTTGTATACCCTACACATCTATGTTAAAAGTATGGATTGCCTCAAGAGTTAGTAGATGCACGGCTCATTTCTTGTAGTTTGGGCTGTAACATGCCCAAGCTACAAGAAAATCTATTTGACGCCCTAAATATTGAACGATTATTATGAAAACAGTCATATTAATTCGTAGGCCAGATTCCCATCTCCGTAATTTCCTGGGTTTGGGTCATAATTGTGGCCTCTAAACATAAACCGGACACTACCAAAACCAATAGAAATAGACTTATGCCAGAACCGTATATACATACAAAATTTCCAGAATTCATCAAAATTTCCAGAATTTCCAGAATTCAATTATTGAAAGATGCCGACACATACTGAATCGTTCATTCAAAATAGTGCTAATGTTTTGTTTTCAGAAGATAATTTTTTCAATCACCATTTGATTTGGATCATGATAATCGATCACAAATTATAATGGACAGACGGACATATGATTAACGATATACAAAAATTTGAGTCTAGGAGTAGTGCAGTTACAAACTCTTGAGGCAACACATAGTTTTAACATAGATGTGTAGGGTATTAAATCATTTTGTTTTGACTGGTTGAATAAAATTTGACTACATTTTGCAATGTCAAGGCGAATTGAATTTTATTTGCCTTGTTTACAAATTTTGACATATTATATTCTCAAAAAAGTTACTTTGTTAC